GCTTGAAATGCACGGACAGGACGCATGCAGCCCACTCTGCTGGCACAGGTGTTTCACTGCCCACTGCCCCTTTCAGTGTCTGAACTTTACATGTTGTTGTTATGTGCCGTGGAGTCGGACCCGACTCATAGCGAACCCTCCTTGGGTTTCCCAGGCAGTATCACTGCGGAAGTAGATTGCCCCATCTTCCTTCCAAGGAGTGGCTGGTGGGTTTGAACCCCCAGCCTTCTAGTTAGCCATAGGCACTATGCTACCAGGGCTCCCAACTTTACATATAGAATTACTGATGTACAGGAGAGAGAACCGGGCCTTGACTGAGCACAGCCTTGTAATCATGGGAAGGGAGAGGAATGCGTCCCTGGAGTCCCATTGCTGGGGATGCGTATCACTCTGCGCAGCGATTCACTGGGGGTTCTGGGAAGAAGGCAGAAGGTGCATCTGAACAAAGGGACTAGAGAAGCCACAGTAAACCAGGTAACCGGCTGTCATCGAGCTGCCTCCAACTGACGGCGACCCTGGGTGTGCAGGGTGGGACTGGAACCCTCACCCAGTCCATTTGGTAAAATAAATCTCCATTCACAAAATAAAACAGTTACTCTAAATTCCATTCTAGTAGAGCAGTCAGCTTTTGATAGTTCTTCCGTGTGCACACCAAAAATAAATGTGAATAGAGAATGAAGAAAATGGGGGAGTTTCAAACTAACATATATGCTTCTGTTAGCAAGGTCTACGTTTTAAATCAGGAAAAAGCATCATCACTGGCAACCATGAGGCGTATTGGTCTTCATGATTGAGACTCACTTTTGTGTACACGGAAGCAGGACTGGGTGATCTACGTCTGTAAAGACTGACCGCCTCGGAAACCCAGTGGGGGTCGCTGTGAGTCGGGATCGACTCGATGGCTTTTACTTTTGTGTACATGAAGATGTGTAATGTATGGAGTAGCATATTTACTATTCCTGTTTTTCAGAATTAATAGGTATTATTTATTGTGAATTCTGGCAAACCTGGGAGTCCATGAGTGGTGCAGAGAGTTAAGTGCTCAGCTGCTAACTAGAAGATTGACTGTCTGAATTCACCCAGTGGTGCCTTAGAGGAAAGGTCTGGCAGTCTGCTTCCCAAAAACCAGGTGAAGGAAAGCATGTCGCGTGCCGGGCTACCCGGAGGCAGCTGCGATGACAGCCAGTTCCCCGCGTGCAGTCCTACCCCGCACACCCGGGGTCGCTGTCAGTCGGAAGCAGCTCCATGGCAGCTGCTTACCTGGTTTACTGTCACAGTGGTTAGGTGTAACCTTAGGAGAAGCGGGGCGGCAGAGGTCACAGGACCATGACTTGACCCTTTCTTTGGTATCATATTTACTGCCAGGCCCCTGAATCCACTCCATGAGCAACTGGCAAGAACATGTGGGTTTCATCAGTAAAGCCCTGTTTTCACACTTGTCCTGCCTTTTTCTTCTAGTTGTTCTTTCAAAAAGGGTGTTTCTTAGCGTACGGATTTACTAACTCATCTCTTGCTAGACCCCAGCAAGAGAAACATGGAAGCCCTCGTCCCTCTGAGCAAGGCAGCCTTCCCGGTGTGTTATCTCTCGGCTGCTCATTGGAGGTTTCACACATTGACAAAAATAACACCATTTTCAGCTGATCCCAATAGATTTTTCTCTGCAGCTGCATCACTTGAAAAAGCTTTTTGTTTCAGTTCTTAAAGTCTAAGTATTGAAAGCAATTTGGAGGGAAAAAAAGAAAGACATCTCCATTATGATTTGTGCGTGCTGTGATGACTCTGAGGGCCGCCGGGCTGCACACGGGCTTGGAGAGACGAGCCAGTGAGCCCGTGGAAAACACAGGCGTTTCAGCGGCGGCGTGGAGTGTGCCCATGTAAACGGCAGCACGTGGCCGGTGGGGGGCTTTTTTGGCAGGACCTATGGTCTCAACCTGCAGCGATGCTAAAGATATTAGCAAATTAGCACCACAGAGCTGGCCAGCTTAGTCCCCGGAGCACTGCTCGCTCCCTCCCTGCTGTAATTAAAACTCATTATTTTCTAAAATGTAGTAATACATGAATGTGTGCGGTAATCGTTTTGTAGTGGGCAATCTGTGGAGCCTTTTAAACACATTTTCCCTTTTCTGGCACACGGTGCTGCATGTATCCACCCTGGTTGAGCCAGCACCTTCATCTGCAAGGGTACAACGAGTCCTGCTTGCGAGCACCCGGTTTACTTCATTGTGAAACTGGAAGGCTTTCTGGTTTCCATTCACCGAGAAGCTCGTGGTTCTCTCCCTGTGCCACGCCCACCTGCTGGCTGTGCTTTCTAGGGCCATGCACAACTGTGTGCTTATGTCCCGAGCAGCCCACGCTTCGACAGAACCGGTGGGGTTCTGTCGGAATTCAGCTGCTCTTCCCTGGATGTCTACCCTGACTCCCTCCTGTCACCATGTTCTTCCTTTGAATAGACGTCTAAAACCATACTTTTAACCTGAAAATACAGTTGTGGTTTGTTGCCATTGAGTCGGTGCCAGCCTTAGGTGTAACAGAATGAAGCGTTGCCTGGTCCTACACCAATAAAAGCAGAAGCCGTAGAATCAATTCCGACTTGTAGGGAGCCTCTGGAGCAGAGCAGAACTGCCCTTAGGGTTTCCCCGGCTGTCCTGTTTGCAGAAGCAGACTGCCTCATCTCTCTGTAGCAGAGAAGCTGGTGGGTTAGAACTGCCGATCTTTCAGTTAGCAGCCAGGCCCTCCACCGCTGCACCACCAAGACTCCTTAACTGCGCCAATAAATGTGTGAGAATCCCTGTTCTTTGCTAAATGTCCACCTTTCACTCTCGGACCTGGATGAAGTCATTGCCTTTCTGAGCTGTGAGCTAGAGCCCGGGCTTTGCCCAGTGCTGTGGCGCTGCCTCCCGGGCTGGCCCGGGCGCTGAGCCGCTGCTGTGGGTGGGTGACTGGACGCTGCCAGCTTGAAGGGTACGGCCCCACTGGAAATCTTTTTCTTCCAAAACCTCTTTGCTATGGTTGTTTCTGAGATCATTCACCCTGAGCCTGTTCTGTTATCGTAGGCAAGACACACACACTAGATAAGATTTTTTGAAAGAAACAATATAAAATGTCAGATGATTTTGCAAACTATCAATTAGGTAACTTTAGGAAATTAAGAAGGTTCTCAATCCTCTAGTCCCTGTGTTTAAAGACCAAGAAATAGCTCTCATTCTCCAGCATTTGCTGTCAACACTTGATGAGCGATCTAAACATTTGGTATATTTCCACTTGTGGCCCGCACCTCCTAAAGCTGCAATAACTTTGAACAGAAATACTGATGTGTTTGGACCCTTGGTGGCTTGCGTCTTCAGTATACAGAATGACTGCTTTTTTCCTTATATTTTTAAGATAGAAGCATTGCCCGGGTGTGGTGCTATTGTGATTTCAGAAATGTGTCTGCTGAATTACAGTTCCTTCTTCTTTCCTTCCCGCGCCCCCCCCTTCCCGCGGTAACTGGGAGGGGAGCCGAGCCTGGCAGGCCGCGTGTGTAATCCTGAACTCTTTCTCCTGTTTTCGATCAGCATCTATGGGTCTTGCAGATATGATGTCTCCTGGTGAGTCCAAATTGCCCCTCAAAGCCGACGGCAAAGAAGAAGGCCCCCCGCAGCCCGAGAGCAAGTCAAAGGTACTTCCCCCCGCACGCGGTGTCGGGCCTGCCCAGCCAGCAGCTGCCGTGTCTTCTCTCCACTGGTGTTGGCCACACATTTTGTTTGTTTCCTTGGTTCCTTCTCTTCCGCATGCCTTCATTCCGTGCACTGTTTGTAGTCTTCTTTTCTTTCCCCACCCCCGTCATGGTGTGGGGCTGAAAGTTACTAGTTCTTATGGCATTGAACTTGAACTCCTGGGGGGGCGGAGGGGGGACAAGGCCAACCACAGAAATGTGCTTGGGGGTGGGGACAGGTAAGGGGTCTTGCCTGGTCTTGACACTTGAGCCATTTTCTGCCTCAGTTTATAGCTTCCTGTTTGGCCGCCTCAGCAACAACGTACTTAATATTTTGCTTTCCCACCTTATTTGATAAATAAGGTGAACGGCTTTTTTTTTTTTTTTTTTTTTTCCTTTTCTTTCTTTCTTTCATAAGGGGTAACCCATGCTTAGCATTCCATGTAAGCTTGAAGTAAGCATGGTGGCTTAGTGCCTTAGCCAGCATCCAGCCAACTGACCAAGTTATACTAATGAAGAATGTTGTTTTAATACTTTTATACATGTGTTTGTTTGTGTGTGTGTGTTTGTACATGTCTTTATATATAGAGATATAGATATATATAAAACATTGAGTCTGTTAAACTGGATGTGCTTTTTGTTATTTCAAATAAAGTTTGCCCTACCTTTGTCATTTTTTTTTTTTTTTTTTTATTCCTCTACCACAGGATAGCTACAGCTCTCAGGGTATTTCTCAGCCCCCAACCCCAGGCAACCTGCCAGTCCCTTCCCCAATGTCCCCCAGCTCTGCTAGTATCTCCTCCTTTCATGGAGATGAGAGTGATAGCATTAGCAGCCCAGGCTGGCCCAAGACTCCATCAAGCCCTGTAAGTGGCTCTGGTTTTTTGTTTTTGTTTTTGGGGTTTTTTGGTAATGAATGATTTCTACTTTAATGCTTGCTTGTTGGTTTATTTGATAAGACTTTTCCTTCATTCTGTCCATGAGAGGGTTTTCTTTATTTATGACAATTTCAGTGATAACAATGATTACGTTTGCGTGCATCCTGGAAGGCTGGAATCTGAGAATGTAACGGCACCTCTCTACCGAGCATGTGAAATGTGTTATGGGCCCAAACTCCTTCCCACGTTTATGTGTGTGCTCCACAGTGTACTCACAGAAGGTTGTAACGAGTTATTCTCCATTTTCACGGGAACTAATAGCAGTCCTGGACGAAAGGCTAAGTCCTGCCCCTGCACTTAACCTTTGCACGGGCGGTTGTATCAGAAGCGTCTCTTCTTTCAAAACTACCTACCTGGAAATGGAACTGTCACAGTCTGGGCAGAGTTTAACACGACATCAGCCCTGCCTTGTGTCAGTCCGTCTGTCTAAAGTCATAGGTGTCCATGCATCTGAATATTTAGAAGGCTCCTCTCAGATCCTCAGTGTGCACCTGCATTAGAACCCGTTGTGGTAGGGAAACAGTACCCTGCCGGTACTGCTGATAAGCTTACAGTTCAGCATTGATTTCCTTACGATGCATAAAACTAGAAACGATAATGTGATAAAGGAGCGTTTCTAGCCTTAACGTTCTTCACATTGTAGACCTGGGCCTCATTTTTATTTCTTTGTTTCCTACTTAGGAAGTTAATCCTTTGCCATAGAAAAGGAGAGCCATGGTTCTGTATTTATTTCACATTCATATAGAGAACCAAAGGATTTTAAAAAAATAACATGCAGTGACTTGCCAAGAAGGCTTAATTAATACCCTAATTTTTGTACGATGAGGTGCTGAGAACACAGCTCAGGAAAAACAAGTTGGAGAGAAGAAGAGCCTGACTGTGGGTTCTGGTAATCTAGTCAGAACCCAGAAAGGAGGGTGCTGTTAACTGTCCATTAACTGATGCGAGCAGATAAGGTTGAAGGCTTGAAGACTTCAGATTCCCACTTAGTGCTAGTGTAACCAGCATTTCCTTTATAGAAAGGAGGGCGGGGGGCATTCAGTCACCGCCTCTGCTGATACAGGTGCCCCCATGCAACCACTGAACTGAGATGTAAAACGCGAACCACGTCTCGGACGGGTTCAACAGAACTAACGGGAAGGAGCCCGCAACTCCTCAACTTTGATGTCTCTGTGTTAGTGGCTTTGGGTCTCAGAAGGCAGCCAACGTTGTGTGTTGTTTTCCCATAATGCACCCTGGCTTTTGGGGTTTACCTTTTTTTTTTTTTTTTTAATCATAGGAAAAACATTTTTGAATCGGCAATACTCTTGGGCTCACAGGTAGAACATTTATACGTACCCTTGTTGGCGTAGAGAGAGAATTTCAGAGGTTGAAAATGCCTTTAAAACTTTAAGACAGTGATTAAAAGTAATCAGATATTATATGCTTAAACACCTTGCTGATCTCTGCATCTAAAGGCTGGTGAGAATTCCCATGTTGTAATTGACTAGGCACCCTACCTCTGTGCCTGAGCACGGGAGGAAATTACCACCATTCATTCTCTACTTGCTTGAAAGAAAAAAAGCAAACCGAGCTGTTGATTTCATTCTGACTATAACACAATTATACTTGACACTAAGTTCCTTTTCTCCTTTTTCTAAATATTCCGCTTTACATCATCTCTTTCTGTACCGTAAACTGCTGTGTTGAAGAACTGAGCAAACTCTGTCTCCAGAGGCAGGGAAGGACAAGAGAAGCGATGATGAGTCGTAGTGGAAAAGGCTAGCCTGTGGCTGTGCTTGAGAAGCCCCTCCTTAGAATGAGATGCTAATCAAGAGAAGGACCGGAAGGAGATTGTCAGTGAAGGGCCTCCCACCACGTCTGCCCCCACAGCTCCAGAGATGCAGGTAGTTAGGCAGTACCTAACTGCTCTGCTAGAGACAGCATGAATTTGATACTTAAAGTTAACTCCTCACAGTTTCCCTAATCAAGCCTGTCTAACAGCAGGCCTGAAACGGACGCAATCTAAAGACGGTCCACACTTTGTGTATTATGGACAAACCGCACCAAAATAAACTTAAACGTTTGCACATACACATATTACCAGGCATATGGCAGAGCCGGCGGGCATGTAAATCTGCCCAGAACTACAGAAGACTGCTTGTAGACCACACACAGTAAGGCGTGTGCACAGAAAACATTTGTGGCAGCACAATCACGCCTTGTTGTCGGCTGCAGGCACTCCCGTGCTGCCTGCTCCAGGCAGGCCGGTTGGTTTGCTCCTAGTCAGTGGATGGGGAGTGCAGTGATGGCAGTGACTGCACCGCCCTATGGGGCTGACGTCTCTGGACAGAGCAGCCGTGCGGGAGCCTGCTGAGCAGTCAGTGTGGCAAAGCCAGTGTTGTAGGTCCTGGGGCTTTGCCTTCTCACGATGGCCTGTTGCTCTGTTCAGACAGACACCATCACAGCCTTGGTGATTAGGCAGCCCGTAAGGTTAGGAGTCAAAATGAGTGTGGCAGTGAACACTTTCCCTCAGCACCTTGGAACCCTCTCAGAGAATGTTTTGATCAGCTTCCCAGACCTTCCTGCCCTCTCCATCCGTTTGAGCCTTTCTCACGGAAGGGCCACCATCCGACACCTTCCACATGCCAGGGACTGTGCTCAGTGGTGCTAACTCAAGTGGACCCGAGCCCTTGAGACCTGCAGTCTGCTTAGAAGCATGGACAGGAGACAGTTACACACAAAACACACAGTTGTATGTGTTGTGTAACAGTGCCGGGAAGGAGATGACAGGCCTGATGTGGCTCAGACGGGCCTCGTCAAAGACTCCACACAAAACTGGGGCCTGACAGGGCTGTGGACACAGGGATGTGTCTTCCCCCATTATGGTGCCTTGCAAATGGTTTCCATATGATCCAAAGTTACGCAAAATTAAACTATTCTGTTAAAAACTATTATCTTCATTAATTTTTTCTAATTTTAAAAGAGAACCAATTGAGACAAGAGTTACATGTTCATTTAACAAAGAAAGGTGAGAAAATTTTAAACATTAATACACAAAAGTCATGAATGTTAAGCCAGTTTCAGGTTACAAAAGTCTACCCGTTTTCCTCAGTTGTAGCGAACGCTTCCTCAGGTCTGCTGCTCGCTTCATTAGTAACTCCTCTCTGGAACCGCTGCCCACCTTGGGTTTGAGACAAGACCCGAGATGGCAGGTGGAGCTAGCACTTGGAATGCTGGGAGAGTGAGTCAGCGATTTTAAGTGGAAAATGACGCCTTTACTGCTCTTGGCCTTAAATGAAAAATCTAAGACTTGGACCTCAGTTTTTCACAAAGGCAATGCAAGAAGGAACTTTTTAGTCTCTTTCACTACTTCTTGTATTCTTATTATTTCACATTTTCATTTTTGAAAAACTTTGCACCTTTTTTTCTTTTTAAGTGTGTTTCCCCATAAGAAGGAAATGTTCAACAGTTGCATTTAGGAACCTCTTGGGAGCCCTGGCGGCATAATGCCTAAGGCACTTGACTGCTAACCAGAAGGCTGGCGGTTCAAACCCACCAGCCACTCCTCGGAAGGAAGATGGGGCAATCTACTTCTGTAGAGACACCACCTCAGAACCCCAAGGAGGGGTTGCTGCGAGTCGAATTGACCCGAGGGCAGTGCGTTTGGTGTAATTACCCTCATGATGATGGCAAGGCTTCCTAAAAGGTTACCAGTGGGGAACCTGCTGGGAATGTGTCAGGACAGTGTCCTTCCATAGTCAAACATTCCTTGGTTATAAGACTATGGAAAGTGAAGTTTAAAAACTTATCCTTTGCATATAGAGTGTTTTCCGTATTCTTAGCATGGATATGGGTGTATAAACATGTACGTGTGTGTGTATAAATATGCACATAAACACACATACTGAACTGCTTATCTAAAGTAATTTCTCAGTGATGTACAGTTTTACCTCAAGAACCGGAGTAAATCCTAAAAGATGACACAATTTTTTGTCTCCATCGACTATCACTCATTTTTATATATTTATCTTTGAATTCACTAGAGAGGCAGAGCTAGTGAGCTGTCTAGAGAGAGAGAGACAGAGTGATTTTAAAGAATTGGCTCATGTTATTGTGGGGCTCTGGTTCTCAGCAAGGGCACGATCTGTATGTCCTCTGCAGGGAGGGTCCCAGAATCCAAAGGTCAGAAGACAGAAAGAGTGAAGGGTGAGGGACTTAGGCAATGTCTATTTATAGTCAGGAAGCAAAATACACCCTAGGAAAACCTCCCTCTCTGAGTACCTCCCTCTGCTCACTTGCTGGCTCGCCCGCTCTTTCCCCCTCTCTCTTCCTCTCTCTCCTCTCTCTTAAGACATTCACCTGACAGGATAATGCCCACTCACGGTCTGAGGTCACTTGCTTCACTTGAGGCCTTAAGGCAGCCTGCTGTCGTCATATGACCGCAGCACAGCAGCCAGTTCACTAGCGTGTGACAACACGCGTGGACCCCACGGCCTAGCCGAATCCACACACAAAATTAACCATCACAAGTTCTGATGTTAGGATCTTGTACCCCAACGATGTCATTCTAGAGCCAAGGCTTAAAATTTGCAATGTCAGGGTTACTGTGCAAAACTAGAATTTGAATTCACTAGAGAGGCAGAGCTAGTGAGCTGTCTAGAGAGAGAGAGACAGAGTGATTTTAAAGAATTGGCTCATGTTATTGTGGAGCTCTGGTTCTCAGCAAGGGCACGATCTGTATGTCCTCTGCAGGGAGGGTCCCAGAATCCAAAGGTCAGAAGACAGAAAGAGGCTTAAAATTTCCATGGAAATCTCTTAGGAGACTTCTGCTCAGTGACTTCCTCTCAGGGAGACTGCCGCATCACAGCCCAGTCTGCCTTCTCCTCGGGCATCAGGCCCTGCTGCCCCTGGGGACCCTTTGGCTACTCGCAATATCAGCTAACCTCCATGGCCATCATATTTAACCAAAAGAAAAAAGATTCAGCAACATGTTTAAAATTATTGGAAGCTAAATTACAGTGAAGAGTTCAGCAGAGCCCGGTCTGACATGCTGGCTGTGCACTGGGAATGAATGGTAGCCTGGCAGTTAAAGCTCAGAAATGGAGTGAGTTATCATCCCCGGGCTCTCCAGGCAGAACCGGGAAGTCGTTTTGCACAGTAACCCTGACGTTGCAAATACTACAGAGGCATAGACATCATTACACACATCGAGACAAAAGAGAGGAAGAGAACACAGGTGGCCTATGTAGGGGTGAAAGTGTTAGTCACCTGCCCAGGGTGCACTTCAAGGGCGTAAAAACAGCAGCTTTTGACATTTTACTATAATATACAAAGGTGTAAGGAGACCCATAAAAGACCAAGAGCATCAGTGTAACCCACATGACAACATAAACACATGTGCATAGAAGTCAGGGCGTGTGTTTATCCATAGATGTGCTGGGAATGGGTAATCACTCGCCTTCTCAAGGTGAAAGCTTGGTTGCTCGAGCAGTGGACTAGTTGTTGGATACGCCCTTCCCTTGACAGAGAAGCTGAAGAATCTTAACTAGGGAAGGCAGTTACTGTGAGTAACGCCCCAGCTCTGCTGCTGCTTAGATTGTGGAGCCCCAGCCAGCACGGGGCCCAGCCTGGGCTCTCTGACCCAGCTTCCGCTCTTCACCAAATCCCAGGGCTTTGTTCTTCCTCCATACAACTTAGTCTTGTAACGGAGGATCACATTGGTCACTCTTGTTCTGACCAGGAGGGACAGGGGCCCACGCAGCCTTTGAGACTCACATGTTCCACACGAATTGGCTGTTTTTGCCCATGATGGTTTTATGGGATTGCACCCTTTTTTTAAAAAGTGCCTTCTGGGATTCAACGCTTAGCTCAATAAACTTAAAAGGTTTTCTTGTTTTTGTTTTCTAAGTGTATAAAAGGGGGAGTTTGGGCCCTTTATTAAGAGTCAAAGTAAATTCTTAATTAAGAAAATGTATTGTTTGTGCCTGAACTAGTAGCCTTCATTCCTAACTGTTGTGGGTAGCAGTAGATGTTCAGCGGCTCCTTGGCTGTGCTCGTTCATTGCTTTTCTCTCATCTTCCCTCTCTGCCACCCATGCCCACCTCCACGTACTCCCCCTGGGCACCAGAAGTCCAGCTCGTCCACCACCACTGGGGAAAAGATCACAAAAGTGTATGAGCTGGGGAACGAGCCGGAGAGGAAGCTGTGGGTGGACCGGTACCTCAGCTTCATGGAGGAAAGAGGCTCCCCCGTCTCCAGTCTGCCTGCGGTGGGCAAGAAGCCCCTGGATTTGTTCCGGCTCTATGTATGCGTCAAAGAGATTGGAGGCCTGGCCCAGGTAAGAGCACATGAGCAGCCGAGTGAGCAGGTGGGTGGTCGTGGAGACAGCTAATGCCCGCCCGTACGGTGGCTTCCTTGCTGTATGTGGACTCCAGCTCCTGTCTCACAAAATACTGGAAGCATCCACGTACTGGAGGGGGGAGGGCCTTGGAGCTCTGCCCTTGCCCCCCAACTCACAATGTGATGCTTCCAGGACCTCCATTCCCTCATTGTGAACTGAACCCCTTGGACCAGCCCTTCCTTTCGGTCTCCTTACAGCTCTCAGTCCTGAGGAATCAGCCAGGCGTTCACTGTAAGCACTCCAGAAATGAGTTGCAAATGAATGAGTGGTATCTAGGTCAGATACAAATCAAACTCACTTTCTCCCTCTATTCAGAAAACGAAGTCATACTTCTAAATGCAGGTCCACAAGAGGGGAAACAACAAAGAAGTGGTAGCAGTTTTTTAGCAAGGCTGGAAGTGGAGTGGGGCAGGATTGAAGGAAGCACACACTTGCAGGGCTGTACCAGTGCCCACCCTGAGCTCGTCTGACTCTAAGAGTGAGTGCCTCCTTAAGGACTATGTGTGAGGTGCCATCCAGTCCTGACCCTGGTTCTTAGTAGATCTGTTTCTTACCAGATGGCAGCATGCAGTAAAGTGGGATACCAGGTTCCCACTAAGCCCCACAGGTGGAAAGTGTAGGTGGGCACTCTGTGTCCCACAGGTCATGAAGGGTTAAAAATAATCAAGGCCTTCTGTCTGCAGCCTTGTAATGAATCCTTAGGGTACATAGGTTCCCAGGACCTTCCACCTTCTTCATTAGGGACCATCAGGTACTGAGTAAATGGACATAGGGAGGTGCTGAATCCAAAACTAAACTATTAAAAACCACTGCCACCCTTCCCATGCTCCTCAATCTGGGCCATCAAGAGGTACAATGTCCCCCAGGAGCTTGCAAAACTGCCTGGTCCATTCCTTTCTAACTCTTCCCAGGCAGTAACCAACTGCTGCCAAAAATGTGTGTAACATTTCGGGGTTTCTTCCTCTGCCGTCTGCTCTCGGTTTGCATTGATCTCCCTGCCGGACTGTGAATGGGGCATCCGAGAGTCCCGTGCCACCTGGTGGCATGGAGGGCTGCCCACATGACTAGGCTGACGGCTCCGGGAGAACTCAGCAGCAGACCAGGTGGCCTGTTGTCGGGCTCTAGAGACAGGCCGTTTGGCCACGGCCTCCCTTGAGTTGACTCCCTGTCCCTCTCACACACACTTGCTCCACAACGCCACCAGAACCCCTGGCACGGAAGGACAGCCTGGAACTGCAGGCTCACCCCTCCGGTATCTTGTGGCTGTTGGCAGGAAGCATTGATAGTCGTATCGACGCTCGAACACTTAAATCACAAAATAGTGCTGCTTCTGGTTTTTAGTTGTTAGACGTTGTAATTTTCCTAATTAAGAGTGAGGTGGGGCTGTGCGCGACCAGGAGCGCGTGTTCGCAGAGATGAATGGCGTGTGTGCGCAGCCCGCCCCGTGAGCAGTAGGCCGGGGATGCAGCAGGCAGCGGCCTCCGCCAGCCACACTTTCATGTCGCCATCAGCAGGCTCCTTTAATGGTCTCCTGACTGTAAATGCTGTCTGTGCACTACTGGGTGGGAGTAATGAGCAGTAGTTAAAACAGGCGAATGCACGGAAAAAAAAAACAGTAAACCAAGACATTAAGTGCTTTTCTTTCTTCCTGGATTTAAACAAGCCACTTCGCTGCCAACCAACGATGCTCCGTTTTTCTTGTTAGGTTAATAAAAATAAGAAGTGGCGGGAGCTGGCGACCAACCTCAACGTTGGCACGTCCAGCAGCGCGGCCAGCTCCCTGAAGAAGCAGTACATCCAGTACCTGTTCGCCTTCGAGTGCAAGATCGAGCGAGGGGAGGAGCCCCCGCCCGAGGTCTTCGGCACCGGGGACACCAAGAAGCAGCCCAAGCTGCAGCCGCCCTCTCCTGGTGAGTGGAAGAGTTGCAGTTCACAGGGACTTGTCGGGGCCACCACCACCTGGGTGCCGGGAAGGTCACTCCACAGTGAAGCCTCAGAGCTTTGCATCCTGGAGGGGAAGGGTGTCGTTTCGGGTGGTTTGGGGTATTTCTATCTTTTAATTGAGCCATCAGCAGCAGCAGTTAAGGACGAGAGAATAAAATTGGGCATCTTGCCCTCTCTGGTCACTGGTCAGCATTTGAAGACACCGTTCTCTTGCCCTGTCTTGTTTGATCAGGTAGGCTTGGTAGTTCTAAGCTCTGTACTTTTATTCCATGTCCAAGTGTTTAAAGGACTCTCTATAACTTAGCACAAAATCAGTGTCCTCTTATATTTCTAATACTTTCGCACGACCAGGAAGTACCCCTTTGCAGGTTGGCGTGACCTTGCACCAACTCTGCCTCTGGCAGGGATGCTCAGATTTGCCCCAAGGAAAATGAAATTGAGACCGAGTTTGATGTTCATGTCCTCACTTTAGGGGATCCAACAAACGGTCCCAACTAATGGCCGTCAGTCCCTATTTCTGAAACTATCGAGACCGCTCCACCTCCTGGCAACCCCAGGTGTGTCGGACTAAAGCCAGGCTCCACGGGGTTTGCAGGGGCTGGCTGTTCAGAAGCCGACTGCCAGCCCTACTCCTGTGGTGCCCCAGGGTGGACTCGAACCACCAACCTTGCAGTTAGCAGCCAAGCACGTTAACCGTTTGCCCCCCATCTCTGAAACACAGTAGTCCGCTTTTGCCTCCTGCGTGTCGGGCGTCTCAGGGATACGACTTAGGTTCCCCAGGGTTCTCGTCAGCCCGCTGGACTGATGGCGCTTGGCCTTTCCCCGGCCTTCCCACTCAGCTCTCATGGACCCTGCCATTCTTTCCAGGACTCCTGCTGTCCTCCGTTTTACCTGTTAGGGTTTCAACTTTGAGTTTATAAAATCACTGTGTTCTGATAAGTACAACATGAGAGGCTGAGAAAAGCGTGGGCCCTCCTCAGCTCTTGGTGGTAACTGCACTTGAGTCGATCTGTCTGCCCTGCTCTTCCCTGTTTCTGGCCATTCCTCATTACAGAGACCACTTCAAACTCTGTGGGGTTGCATGCTTGGCCCGTGCCTCTGGAGCCCCTGACGTGGGAGTTGGGGGCCCTGTCCCTGCCACGGTCCCTCCCACAGGCTTGTTGTGAGGACACAGCAGTGACAGCCAGCAGCTCATGTTTCTTGAGCGCTTGCAGTGGGCAGGCGCTTCTCGGAGTGCTGCATCCTTCAGTCCTCACAGCAGCCTTGTGAGGAGATGCTGTTCAAATGCCATGAGGAAAGTAAGACACCATGAATCTAAGTCAATGGCCCAGAGTCACATATCTAGTGTAAGGGTGGGATTTGCTTCCAGGGGTCTGGCTGTGGGGCGTCTCAAGCGTGTAGCCAGAACCCACTGCACTCACGTGCCCACACAGCTACACCAGTGTAACAGCGGAACACACTCACGCGTACGAGGGTTGTGTCTTCCCCTTCACCCTCTCCCCTAGCTGCTGCCTGGAAGCATGACTCTGTCTAAGACTGCCGACCAACGCGTCTCATTTACAGGCCTTGAGGCCCAGAGCTCACCTGGGGCGGGTATGCCTAGATTCAGATCTTCACCAAGTAGGATGTCTCCTCACTAGCCCCTACCCAGAGAGACCCGAAGCCTTGGCCAGCCAGGGTGCACCTTAAAAAACTGTGAAACTGACTGTAGAAGTTCTCACAAAATTATGTTCCTTTCAGTAAAGCAAGCTGCCCAGGAGCATCTCTGAACTGTTTTTCCAAAATAAAAACCCAGTGGGGGGTGGGGACCACAGTGGCCATGTCTGTAAAGATTTAATGGTAAGTTTTATTTGCCAGGCAAGAGCGCTTGTCCCTGACTGGCTTGCCCTTCTGTGTGGAGACTAGTTCTCCCCGTGAGCAGCGGCTGAAGGACAGGCGGTCTCACTGAGCCCGGGCCTGCCCTCTCCCAGTCAGCCCCTTCTCTCCCTTTCCCCCTTTTTTTAAACTGTACTTTTTATGGCAGAGTTGTCACTAGAACCGCACGAAAGAGCCAGGGTTGCAGAGGCCCCTCTGATAATCGGTTCTTCTCAGTTGTCCACATGGAGCCCCAGCCCAGTGAAACAGGAAGTTTTGGAAGTCCACTCCCTCTCGTAACCATGACGTCACCCGTGGCACCTGGGGCCAGTTGAATTGTCTGAACACCGTTGCTCCAGAGACCCTGCTCAGAAGGACACGTGGCAGGTGGGGTGTGGGCCCCATCATCAAGTCTGTCCACAATCTCCATGAGTCAGGGGCCTGATTAGCCAGCTGCTCTCAAAGATGCCTGTGAAACGGTTTAACTCTCCAAGAAGGAGAGAGATACCCAGCCCCTTGTCAGTCAGGGTCTCGTTGGTTACAGCGTATTTATCGTGGTCGGAATGCAGATGAGAAAGCACTCTGTTGTCCCCCGTTTCCCACATACGGTTCAGTGACGTTAGTTACACTCACCGTGTCATGCCATGTCATTGCTCCCAAGTGTTTCCACCACCCTTAGAGAAGTACTGTGCCCCCTAAGCAGTGAGACCCCCGTCCCTGCTCCCACGCCCCTGGTAAATATTACACCATTTCTAAAAACTTAATTTTTAGCAAGAATTTGTGTTCTTTGAAGTCAGTTTTTCCCAAGAGAACATAATCGTCATTTATTGCTTACAGGCAGCTACAAGCAGGCCCAGCTAATCCTTAGGAAACCTTCCAGATTTGCACTAAACGGTCTCCACAAACCAGCTGAACGCCACAGCCGTTTCCAGGCGCGTTCTGGGTCACCCACCGTGAGCCCAGTTTCTGTTTGGCTTAATATGGATCTAGAGTCCTTGGGTGGCGCCGACAGTTAAGCGCTCCCCTACCACTGAGAAGTTAGCATTCCAGCCTTGGAAGAAGGGCCTGGGGAATCCTGGACAGCAGTTTCGCTGGCACGCGTCGCAGTCGACTCAGTGCCTCCTGGTTGGTTGGTTTTCAGCACGGATCTAAAGTTAAATCTGTGCACCCAGACCTTGAGCTGCAGGTCGCTGTCTTTGAATTGGAGGGTTCCTAAGACTCCCCGAGGCAGCCCAGGCCTGGCCTTGGGGTGTGGTCTGCTGCTGTCGGGACTGGTGGGGGTCTTGTTACCATCAACCTCTGAGGTGTGCAGAGTTCTTGGAAGCCAGGCAGGCCAGCATTCCCGGGTCCCCTTGGCATCAGGGTGAGCAGTCGGACTGGGGAAGAGGCATCCTGTTAGTTCTTCTGTAACCAGAGATCCATCCATCTTTGCTGGCAGGTGGCTGGCTGGATTTCTAGTCTTAGCAGACAGGTGGTGGCACAGAACCTGGCAGGGATCCAGCCAGGGGATCCTCCCTGGAAGGTAAATGAGAAAGGCGATCCGATTGTAAAGAGGGGTGCCCTCGGGTTGACCTCTAGTAGCTGGGGCCGGGGACACGCCGGGCTCCCCCTCTTCCCAGAACGCAGGCCCCCGGTCCACACTGCAAAGCCTCTTCCCGCCAGGAGACGGATCGTGTGAAGTGAGCTAGTATGCTTCCCCTGGAACCTTCCACCGTTTACTTCAGAGCCTGCAGGTGTAGCTTCTGGCCAGAGCTGGGGTGAGCCCAGCAACTCTGGGTGCAGGGTCTCCAGGGGCTGCAGTCATGTTTTTCCCGAAAAGAAAGGGGAAAACGGGGACACAAGACTTCCCGTTTCCTCTGTTAGCTGTAGTCTGTAACGAGGGCACTTCTGAAGTCCCACCAGGGGCCTCCAGGGGGAGCCCTTGGGTGGGTCCCGTGCAGGGCAGGCAGGATTTACAGAGCTCTTGTCTCCCCGCTGCCAGCTCTGGGGCGGGCCTGTGTGCAGACTGTCCTTCCACGGCTGTAAAAGGCTCTATCCTTTTCCTGTCATCTATTTTTAACATGTGTTTCCAGGGCTGCACCAACACTCAGTCAGTAAGGAAGAGTTCTTAAGTTTCCTAAAAGGCATCTGCCTTCAGAGTTCATCTTCCTAGCATCTCTGAGGATGCCCTAAATCACTCTGGGCCTGAGGGTGGGGGTGTGGAAGGGCACTGAGTAACCAGCTCTGTGGGCCAGCGGTCCTACCCTCGGGTCCCCACTGGCCGGGCCTGGGCAGGCGGAATCTCGCAGAAGCGTCTGTGTCTAGCACACGCTTCTCAGTCGCAGCAACCTGTTCATCCCAGTGTCTGGCTCCTTCCTAGCTCACTCCGTCATCTTGGGTGATTCGTCTAACCTGTTTCCTCTGAAACAAATTGTGAATAAGGGTGCTCAACTAAGCCTTGGGAACGCCATAAGGAAGGACATCTAAGTGCAAAACACTGTCCTACAAGCTACCAGGCACCGCCACTCCTTGTGGTCTGGGAGGGATCTCATTGCAGACTCCGTGAGGACAGGGATCTTTGTTCAGTCTGGTATTGACATGTGGAAAAGAGCTGAGACCAGAGCAGGCACTCTATTCATCCCTTAAGTACCTGTTTAATTAACTGATCAGTGAACCCAGCACCTACTGACCACCTTATGTGCTCACAATGCAATAAATGATGTAGCCAAAACCCTTAAAATACTTTTTTTTTTTTTTCCTGTGAAAAGCCAAAACCAAACTCACTGTCATCGAGTCAGATCCGACTCATAGTGACCCCTCCTTGGGTTTCTGAGGTAATATCTCTACAGAAGTAGATTGCCCAGTCTTCCTTCTGAGGAGGGGCTGGTGGGTTTGAACCAGCAACCTTCTGCTTAGCAGTCACATCCCTTAGGCACTATGGCACTGCGAGATGCGATTAATTAATGTTTTTCAGGATTCCCACAGAAGCTTTGAAAAAAGCTGCTCGCTTTGGAACTCACTTATGCCGTGTAGTTTTAGTCAAAACCAAATCTTAGGACTCTGCTACTGACGTGACAGAGCCCCGAACCAGTATGACCTGGGTTCATGTAATGAGAAATCGGATTTCTTAACTTCCAGCTGGCCATGTCAGCCATGACAGCGTGTAGACACCTGCGGACGTGCAGGAGGCGTGGAGGTGACGCGAGGCTTGTTAGTAATTCCTGGCATTGGTGATAGCTAGCATTTCTCAATGCCTAAGACCCAGAACTAATTTTTCTAAGCTTCCGCCCCCCCACAAATAGCACAATAAATTGATAGACCAAGGTTTTCATCCCATTTGTCTTAACTTCTAGACATTTAGATTATCTCCAATGTAAACAGCACTGAACAAACATTTCTCTGCCTCCAGCCTTGTTTTTATTTGATTATTTTCTCGGGATAAATACCCAGGAAAGCAATTACCTACCAAACGGTAGACACATTTTTTATGGTTCACAAATGAATTGTACTGCCAAATAGTTTTCTAAAACTAATTTTCATTATAAGCAACACAGGAATAACTAGTGTGACTACATCGTTACCAGCAATGTGTTTTGTTACTATTTCTAATAAAGTGGGATCTTGTTTTAATCCTTTTGTTGTTTTTTTCAGTGACTAGCAAGGATGAGCTAGCTCCCTTGGTAACTGGCAGTTGTCTGCCTCCTTTTTCTTGGTTCTCAGCTAACTCAGGATCCTTGCAAGGTCCACAGACCCCGCAATCAACCGGCAGTAACTCGATGGCAGAGGTTCCAGGGGACCTGAAGCCACCGACGCCCGCCTCCACCCCCCATGGACAGATGACCCCAATGCAAGGTGGAAGGTAAGTTAGGAGAACTCGGGAGCCACACAGAGCCAGACGCCCATACAGCCTAACTTCTGGAGCAGACTCCATAGAGACAGGAAATGCTTTTAAAATTGTGAGTCTTTAAATGTTGATGGCTGTTGCCGCATTGGTGTGCATCTAGTTTCTGGGTGACTTCTGTGTTTACGAAGCTCAGGGCTGGTTTATTCCTGAACCCGTTCTTGGCGACCGTTAAGCTGTCCCTGTTGCTTTCCTTCAGAAGCAGTACAATCAGTGTGCACGACCCCTTCTCAGACGTGAGTGACTCGTCGTTCCCAAAACGGAACTCCATGACTCCGAACGCCCCATACCAGCAGGGCCTGAGCGCGCCAGACATGATGGGAAGGATGCCCTACGAGCCCAACAAGGATCCCTTTGGGGGAATGAGAAAAGGTACACCCAGAGACAGAGCCCCTGACGGGCTGCCATGAGGACTTGCCTCCGCTGCCCTTGGGGCCTGGTGAAAGTTACTTAGCGTCTCTGGACTTCAGTTTCCTCATCTGGGGGTGGGGTGATGCCAGGGCTTCCTGGAAGGGGGTTGTGAGGCTGACGTGAGGGCACACGGAGTCCACGGAGGGGCCTGGCCTGTGATGAGTCAGCTGTTCTCGGCCCCTCCTGTCAGCGTGGACTGGTGCAGTGCCAGCTAGTGTACAGGCAAACAGCCACAGTCCCTGCCCTCGTGGCGTTGACAGTCTCTAGGTGACAGCAAAGGAAATGAATGAAAGCACAAACATATAATTAAAGCGCGTGGTCAGTGGAGGGAAGGAAGCAGTGATACTGGGGGCACGGAAACCCAACTCTGATGCGGTGTTAAGAGGGGCGGGCTCTAAGCAGGTAGTGGTTATCTGCAGAGACCTGCAGAGTGAGGAGCCTTCTGAGGAGGGCAGGTTTAGGGGAGATGGCGATGAGCTGAGGAACTGATACGTGGCTGGAGCATACAGCTGGTGGGACTAGACGGGCCCACCCAGGCATTTGGGGCCAGGGCCTCCCAACCTTTGTGAGCACGTTGGTGAGTTTGGGGTTTGCCATAGGTGAAAGGTGTTATATTCAGACATGGTATGGCTGTGTACCTGGCCACCTATGAAAATATTGGAGAAGTAAGAGTAGAACTGGGGAGGCAGCGAGACGGCCCCCGTGGGAGCCTGGAGCCTAGGAGAGGGAAGCTGGATTGGAGCAGGACACCAGCAGGGGAGAGAAGTGGAACTGTTCACGGTGGGGGCTGGGGGCAGAAACTCCAGGACTTGCTATGGGGTCAACACGGGTGAAGAGAGAAAAAGTACTGACTGAGTGGGAAGTGTTCTTACCTGCAGTGTGCATCTGGGAGATGAACAGGTAGAGAGAGAGACAGCCCGCGTTCACTTTGTGGTGAGGTGGTTGGAGGAACGTGTGTCCAGAGAGGAGCCCAGGGTTGGAGCTGGATCTAGTTTTGGCGTTCTGAGCCCTGAGACGGTGTTCACAGCACTATTGGGCCAACAGATCTCCGAGAGAGTCCTGAAGGGTTTCGTGTTGACGTCAGAAAACCCCCAGATGGTTTTCCTTTAGGCTCATCAGTCCGCAATGTGAATTAGCAGGAGGTCTTAGCTATGTGAGCAGCCACGCTCAGGACCCGCACGCACCAAGCAGAAACGTAGTTTTTCTGTCTTGTGACTCTTTTTCAAGCGTAGGTAGGTCCTGCAGGGTTGAGAGCTGGTGTGCATGATGCTTTGTGGCAGCAGTTACTCTGGCGTCCTGCACTCAGTGCCTCTGCTGTGTTTAGATGACTGGTCGGTGTGGGTTTCTTGCCATGTTGTCTGAACAGAGAACAGCAGAAGGCCCAAAGCCGTGCTTCTACCAGTGTTTGGACCAATGAGAAACAAAAATAAATTGGCTCAAAAATGTGAATGTTGGGACCATTTCAACTAACAAATTAGATTTATTATATTTCAAAAAGACACCTGTTGCATAAAGCAGAATAATCTATAGTTCTCCTTCCAGAGTTTCCCAAGGGTCTTAACAGGCAAGCAATGAACACGGGAGCTCAGGAGCCCAAAAACTGCAAGTGCTGTCAAGTTTCCCAAGCTCGTCCCCCGAACTGCCTGCTTTGCAATCAGTGACACCAGAACTGGGGGTGCCCAGCATCTGTAACTCTGTTTTGATCAAAAGTGTTTTAGAAGAATCCTGATGAAAAGAACAGAACTTCATATTCTCATGGAATGCAGACTTTCTGAAGCTGATGAGGCTGGATGAACTCCCAAAATCATTCCCTGAGATAATCTTTAAACTGGAAATCAGAAATATTCCCTGAAGTCTTTAAACCAAACAGTAGGCTAACTTCATTAGTGAATAATGTGTGCCTTGACTATTGGGCGCTCTTAACAAACTGTCTGTATGGGATCAAACTGGCAACAATGACTTGAAAGGTTTGACAGGAAGCGTAGGGGGCAATGAGTTTATGTTCATGAAGGAGGAAGAGTCAGAGAAAGCAGATAAAATAGTTGCTTAACTTGAATGCTTGTTGTTGTTGTTGTTAAGTGCCGACGAATCGTTTCCGACTCATAGCAACCCCATGCACAGCAGAACGAAACACTGCCCGATCCCGCGCCAGCCCCACAATCCCTGCTATACTTGAGCCCATCA